AAAAAAGCAAGGAAACTGCCAATCCATCGTAAGACGCTTGTGTTTCCATGGCTAGAAGAGAGGTGAAAAGTTTTAATGAGAAAACTAGAATTCAGGATTTTAGGATTTTTCAGCTCAGGGTGGAATAGCAGAAACGTTACAAGGAATACGGAAGCAGATGTCTGATGAAGTAGAGCTTAGAGATTGGATCGGGCAGTAAAAAATATAATTCAGATCTTTGATCTTGATGTGGCCTGTTTAAACTGTACCACAACTGTTTTCAGATCCATGCAATGTAGACACAGTAGATACAGTCACCATGCAATCTTCTATAATCAATTTAATGTTTCATTTGCATCTACTTTCATTTAAATATATCCCTAAATTAACTATTTTACAAAAGTTTTCCCCTTTTCCTCCATCTTATTTTTTTTATTGCAAGTACAACTTAAAACGTTTTATAATCCAGGCTGCTCAGAAAAAAAAGCATGTTTAATTAAATCCTTAACAGAGGAAGCCAAAGTCAGAAGAAAAAGACGAGTCAGGGGATTTAACACTCTGTCATCCAAAGCCTCAGTGGAAGAAGAGTTCTAGTTGTGCTTTTATTGATTGCTGGATATTCCTCCCTATGGGTGTAGGAACAGGGTGTTGTGTAATCAAAAGCTGGACAGTACCACAGACTTCCCTGTCCTTTAAAATCCTGGACAAGTCGTATCAAGACATTTAAACCAAGACCAGCTGTCACTACTGATGTGACAAGTCCCTGAAAGTAAGCAGCAACCATGCACACACACAAAAAATGTTTCTGCTTCCTACCAGTGACATATCTGGATCTATATATGGTATATGTTTGTGTGTATCATAGATGCATTGTGGTAGATTGTGTGGTGATGCCATATACTTATACACACACACACACACACATATATATATATATATATATATATATATATATATATATATTCATACAAATTTTTTAGGTTTGTCTGCCTCCCTGCCTTTACTACACCGCTGCCATGCAGCCCACCTCTTCCTGTCATCCTGTCTGACATTAGGGCTAAGCTGGATCTCATTAGGACCAAGGTGGCAGTGATCCCGTCAACATCGCTTTGGCTCCTGCCAAATGGGTTAGCCTCCAAGGTAACGGGGCTGCATCGGTCTCCACAGAGCCACAGGCCTTGTTATGGCACATGCACAAACACAGAGGCGGAGTAACTACTCTCTAGACAAGTGTGCAGCGAACATATAAAGCTGAATAAACATGTCAAACTGAAAGGATAGAAAAATCGTGATAAGGTGACGTGTTTTATAAATAAACCCAGACTGAGCCGGCACCGAGTTGTTTGTTCATAACAGACATGTTAGGGACATAAAATAAAATGATCAATAATAGACAAGTGTTTTTTTATGATAATTAACACATCTGATTATCTAGCTGTCACATCTAGAGTTTTTTTGAAAAAAAAAAATCCAAAATACTGACATGCCCGTTTATGAGAAGACCAAAATCAGTCATTCTTTCTGACTTTCTACTGCTTTTGCAGTAAGAGGGTCATTAAATCACAGACACTCATTACCAAAGGCAAATGATCACCAGTGTCTCAGTTACAAGAGCTTTGAAACCCAATAATACCGTAACTACCTACCTACCTATGGTCAAAATCAATAAACCAGTCAATCTCACAGCAAGTCACTGCTTTAATTTTCATGTAAGGCGCCATGGCAATTTTGAACTGCGATTTTTTATTTTTACTCTTTAGCTGTTAGCCGTGTTGCGATGCTAACCCTAGCTGCTTTCACATACACAGTTACAACATGTGGAGATTTGGTTTCTGCCATTATCTTAGTTTCTGTTCTTCACAGTAACAGTACCTAATTAAATTCATAGCAACAATGCTGAAGTAAAAACCAACAAATCAGTTGCAGAAGATAAAAGCCACAGCAGAAGAGATGGCTGGTGAAGTCCAAGTTTAAATGTAGGGATAAAACACTGAAGGAGTCGGACTTTCTGTCAATCACACTTCTAAATTCAACAGTGGCTGAGCACAGCAAGTCATTTTCCTTCACCTTAATTAATAAAAAGCAAAAGCAATCAGAAAAAGGTGAAGGAAAATGTTAGATCCAACTGGTAAATCTCCAATTTAGTGAGACACCACAATGATGAACTCAGTTGGGACTAATTACACAACTGCATCCTACAGAAGCACATAGAGACAGCGCTTGTAGTGCTTGTAGCATCCGGGTTTTTATCAACAAGAAATTATTATTTGTTTCCAAATCACGAAAGATTGTCTTCTTCGCACCCTATTGATGGGCCAGTGATAGTCATATTAAAGTATCTTTCCGGAGTTTTCCACTTTCAGAAGTTATGTATGATTTTTCAGAAACCCATAAAAGTGATTATCTTATCATGTACTGTGATAAAATGTAAGCGATACGTCTTTTTTATTTTTTGCTAAGCTCACCCCCCGCTCTGCAGAGCTCCGTACAATAGGAAACTGAATAGCGTTAGACTGCCGCTCACATGCTTCAAATTTAAGGAGTATCTCAGCTGATGCAGAGTTGATGAACTTTTCCCAGACAAGTAAGTCTCTAAAATATAAATATATGAGAACACAACATGACATGAGAATACTACTCGTAAAACAACGTGTTTTAACTCTGTTTGTCGGCTACAGATGGACATAAATAAACAAGAAACGTAAAGTCGCCCTCTTGAAAAACGGAAAGAGAAATTACTTGGGAGATATACTTTTCAGCCACTAGATGGTGCCATCGGATAAAAGAAAAACTCCGGAAAGAGACTTTAAAGGAGTTGTTAACATGTTTAAGCAATACATTTGCAGTGCGCTCTACTAGCAATGAATGCCTTGCAGGCAGCACTCAGGGCACAAAAAAGCCCAAACCCCATATGACATCAGAGCTGTGCTTTGAACGGGACGATGTTGAGTTATTTCCTGATATTTAGGCCTCGAATTGGATAAAAGCAATGCAACTCTACCACTAACTGCTTGTTTGGGGATCTGAATGTTTTATCTCCACAAATAAGCCTAAAGGAGCTTCTGCCATGTGTTTGAGTTGCTAATGCTAGCAGTTAGCTTCGGTTGAAAGAGACGTTCTTTGCTGATTTTGGACACCAACACAACGACAACCTTCCCTGTCGTGAGTCAAGTCCAATTCACAGTATGATGTAGATCTGTCAGGCTTTTCAAATCCTAGATTTTCATCGTCTATTTTCTAAGGGGAGCCCAAGTCACGCCCATCTACTTTTGGACCATGCAAGTAAATGGGTCTAAAAACGCTACTTTCCAATCCCGTTTGTTATGTGCCATGGATTTCACATAGGATATCTGTGAATTTTAAAGACACATTGATACAAGAAAGTGCTTATTTTTGAAAGGGTGGGGCTAACGTTATTTTAGGTTTTGTGTGAAAATGCGTCCAGGACTACAAATGAACATCACTAAATTGACGTCACTGAACCAGACACAGAGAAAAGCAGAGGAAATTGGCTGTAAGTTTAGCAAACAAATCCGTCATCCAGGAGGAACAAACCACCATAAATCTGGCTATGTGGTGAGTAGCAGCTACACTAGGGGAAAGTAGATTGTGTGGTGACGCCATATTTGTGAAGTAACAATGTCTAATTTGTAATTATAGCAATAATAAATGTCTACAAGCTGATAAATCTCAAAGTACGTGACAGGCGTGGTCGAAACACACATCATTACGTTTCATTTAAATGGAAGTACAACATCTGTGTGATCCATGGTGTAAGGCAAAGCAGATTAGAAAATAGCTCTTATCGCCCCTTTGACTTGCATTCATTTATTCATTCTTCTGGGGACCCATGAGCCGACCGGAAAGGGAGGAGATCTAGGCTCCCTATCAGAAGCTAATGCAGGAGTTAGGTGTAGGAGACCATTTTGAATTTTTTTTATTTGAATTTGAATTTATTTATTTTAACGGGACAATGCATATTACTGAACATACAAGACGTAAATATACCAGAATTAGCAAAGCTAGTTTCCATCCGTAGTCCCATGTACATAAGGAACAGACATTACTATTTAAAACAAGGTTAAAACATACAAAATAAGAATTAAAAACAAGGATAGCTAAAATATGTGAATAACATAACTCCTTATATTCCCCATACGTGCTACAAAAAGAATCAAATTCAGACATGAGGCATATAATTAGATTTCAAGGATAAAACGACAAGAAGAAGAAATATCGATAAAACCAGATGATTAATGTTTTCATGTTCTGCCTGCATTAAAAACCCAGAGTAACCAATTATGATCATTCTTTTTTTTTCAGTCAATCACTCCTTTAATTTAAAACTCCTCACTGAACCACAAAACCCAATTTTATTAGAAATGAAGTGATGCAACTACTGCTAAAATACATCAACAAAATTATCGTGTTTTATGATCCAGATTATTGCTTTAAAATTAACCCTGGTTAATCACTTTGATAATACTCTAAAATGCAAGTGGACCAGACATTTGCTGGCACACAACAACTGCAGCTAAGATCCACTTTCCAAACTGGTAACAGTTACTGACACCCCACCCACCACCAGGAATGTTTTTTCATCTGCCACGCTCATAAAATAAGCTGCCAGGTTCACTAGTTTGGAAACATAATTGTGTAATGATCAATCATTCATAGGTTATGATGCTTCCAATAGCTAGAACCTATAAAAACACAGATATTTGATTTAGACAAAGTGTTAGTGAAAAACCCCGATAACAAACCAATAAATGCTGTTATTTGATAGGAGCTAAACTTTGCCTCTGATTTGCAGTAGACCACGAGGTGATACTATGTAAACAGAAAATGTTTTGCTATGATGCTGCAACAACTTTGACCCAAGCCCTGTTCTTTAATTCCCACAGCAAACAGCCAACCCTTTCTAAGACCTGGTGTGGTTATTTTTTTGTCTTTCTGACTAAATTTAGATTAATACACTGAATCATCAAAGAGAGGGGCTAACTACACATGTTTTCTCTTACCTGGAAATGCTGTCAGTGATGCAGTTCTGGCCCGAGTATCCCTCACCTCTGCTCGATAGAGACCCCTGTGACATGCCTGGTCGAGATTTCCACGACTCCATTAATGCCGTCACAGGTGAAATTAGATTCAACAATGGGTTGGACTGGTCCCTGACATTGTGCCGGGTGAATGACATTGTTCCCTGCGCTCCAATCTGGTAATGGAACGAGTGTCCTCCGGAATTAACTCCAACAATGGCGGATGCTGACATGCTGTTATTCTCCTGGTAATAGCTGCCATCGGTGGACTCCTGCTTAACCCCTTTAGACATGATGCTGGAAAACATGTCGGCCTCATAGTTCCCATTCACAGAGGACACAGGGGGTCCCAAGATCCCAGAAAGACTGTATTCATCGATGTTATTCCTCAGGGACAGATATGTTGTCTCAGAAGCAGGGAAGAGACCAAGAGATGGTGACTGCTCACCATAGGGCTGCTGATTCATACACTCTTCGTTTTTGTTTGGTTCAGTCTTGATCTGTGTGACAAAAGGTGTGCAGCTTGTGTTACAATTGGAGCTGCCTAAACACATGCTCCTGAAGTCCGTTCCAGGCTCATTCTTAATGTACTTCACCATGCCCATCTGGTCTAAACCAACGCTGAACACTTCCCCATCCACCATCTCTACTTTGGGGAACTCAAAGCTCTTGAAGTCCGTGTCTTTAGCTATCCCTGCTGCTTCTGGGCTGTTAGTGTCATTCTGCACTAAACCCAGTCCACCAGCAGGACTAGACACCGGAAACCCAGTAGAGGAGGGATTCTCTGGACTGCTGATAGACATAGGGCCCCCTGTGGCAGGACTGGAGATGGAGGGTCTACTGTTATTGGCTGTGCCCGTACAGCTGACACCTGTAGGGCTTGAAACCGATGACCTAATGTTGCACGTTGTGCTGCAAGATGGAGATCTCACACTGCTCATGCTCTGAGGGCTGGACATGGGGGACCTCATGACATTAAGGGGGCTGGTGAGTGGCGGTGACCCAACTGTGCTGGACTCCACAGGGCTACACGTGGCTGAATTCCTCCGCTTGATGTTGGCCAGAGTTGCTGCGCATGAAGTCTGGCTTCCAGGACTACTGGCAGAGGAGCATAGTGGTCCAAAGCATGTGGGAGGACTGGTGGTAGACGACACCATATTGTTACTCCCTCCAGGGCTGGAAATGCAGCTGGAGGTTTTGGGACTGCAGGACAGAGAGGAAGCAAGCATAGATGCTGAGCTAACTGGAGTCCCAGTGGTGCATTCTCTGGGATTGGTGCTAGTCTGCTGGAAACCAAACGCCTGTGACTTAGAGCTCTTTTTGGAGCCACATTGGTTTTCTTCTAGAGGTCGTCCACAAGCAGGATAAAGCTTTCCTGTGCTGCCTCCGTGTTGGCTAAAAGCAAAGTCAGCCTCCCTGGCAGCGTTCATATACAGGCCCATCGACTCAGCCACAGTCTTGGAAAGTTCCTTGGAGTCCATTTCCCGCTTATGACCAAGCAGGGAATTGTTGAAGTGTGGGAGAACAAATGGCTGGTTCTGGCTGAGTTGGGGCATTGGCTGCTCCTGCTTCTTGGTCTTATTGTCTTTAATGTCAGCAGTCGGGCTTCCAGCAGGGCAGCTGACGTTGACCATGTCCATCAGGATATCGCTGCTGGTCAGACTCGAATCCTCAGTGCTGCGGCAGTACTCCATGGTGCTGGGGGATTGAGACCATTTATTCTCAGAGTCGCCGCCATCGAAAAAGCTTTGGTACCCTTTAGTCTCCATTTCTCACTCATTGATTCATCTAGTAGGCATCAAAACAAGAAAAGTATCATTAGCTAAGATACATCTGTGTATATGACAAGATGGCTGATGCAACATTAATTCAGCACAATCAATTATGGTTTTAGAAATAATAATTATCAGATGTGTGAGGGTAAAAGATAAGGCTGAAAAACGCATGACGTGCATTCATTTCCAAGTTGGGACCTTATTTTTCCCTATGTGCAGTTCAGTAATTAACAAAACCACCTTGTAAAGGGTTAACTTCCCCATGTGATGTCGCTTGGGCCCTTGTCGTTGTCTGAAAGCCCACCTCATCTGCGCCTCTATTGGACAGCTGAGTCAGAAATCCATCAGCTCCATCAGGCCAGTCAGGGATTGGACAGAAAGCTGCCACTCAATAGTTACTGCCTCTTGCCACCACGACCGAGCAGCGACGCCGACACAACATAAAATGTTTGAGGCGCACAAGCGTCAAAGCGAGATACGCAACAATTCCACAGATTAGCCTTGTTTGCAACAACAAAGCGTCACTTTAAGGTGGTTTTTGCACTCAGATCATGCATGCTTCAGTGCACACTTCGAGCCTCAGAGCAAAGAGTTAAAGTGAGTCCAGCTGAAAACTAAATTCCCACCACTGCACATGTGCAGAGTAGCTGATAAACATCCGTCCTCCATTCTCTTTTTATAACCCTTAAGGTTGCTAATAGACATATTTATACATATATAATAAAACTGATGGTGTTTTGGTTATACCACCATATGAAGCAGTTGCCTCTATACAAGTCTATACTTGTCCATTTTTTGCGCAGAAATTAAAGCAAGAGCTTAAAATTTCATGCAGCTGAAGTTCTTTTTTGTGCAGGTTTTAAAGCGAAACTGACCCGAGCACATCGACAGAAACCCCTTAACTCACTTTTGAGCATCAATAAATTCCACACCGTATCTTTAGATTGTTGCAGAAACCTGAAAATCTATTAAAAAGTATGATTTCTGTGCGTTTTTTACGCAGTTCGATTAAACTTCTGAGCGAGTTTTGCATCACAACTTGATTTTTTTCTCTATAATTTATTATCACAGAGGGAAAGTCAAGAGTTTGCACGAAGCTTTATCTTCTGGAGACAGCGCGAAATTAAAACGCACAGAGAAACACCGAGCTCAGTCCTTTACCTTACCTTAATTACGACATTCAGAGTTGTCAGGTGGCTGTGTTGCTGGGTAGCGTTAATCCAAGAGGGGGGAAAAAACAAGACAGGTCAAACTAAGTGAATAAATATGAGGAAATGTGCTCCGTCTACTGTTTCCAACACAGAGCTGTCAGTTTGACAGCTAGACACACTGGAGGAGAAGTCTGCTGCGCATTATCACTAGTAATCCTCCACACAGCGAGCTGCTGCTCCTAACCAGGACGAGCCACAGCAATGGGTCCGGCCGACAGCGACACATAATCTCACATGAGGGCTGTCAGGTCGCGCAGATCTGGAGAGGAGGAGGAGGATGGGGGGTGGTGCATTTACAAAAACAAACAAACAAACAAAATAAAAGAGTAATAAAAACAAACGGAGGAGTCGGTCGGACTTGCAGTCAGAGCGACGTCATCCTGTGCACATGGACCCTCCTACCGCAACGAGGAAGGGGGGAGGAGGGGCTCACCGCGCAGGTAGACGGAGAGAGTGTGGAAATAGGGCACCGGTTTCTGAGTGCGGTGTTCGAAACAAACAAGTAAATAAAGGGAACTCACGTGACGTCTCACTGACCTTTTCACAACAGCTCCTCCGTTCTTAATCTCCTACAAAGTGTTTCATTTGTTTGTTTGATCGTTATTTACAGGCAAGCGCGCCCGCGGTCACGTGATTCAATGGCGTAGGTCAGAAGACTCAAACAATTAACAATGGAGTTTATGCAACCCACAAGTACAGGGAGAGGGGTCTATAACCATTATCTCCACTAGGTGGCGCACATTTTCTACTTCAATTCAAGGAGCAAAATGTGATGCAGTTCGTGCCATTTTAACACCCAAAATACATTTAAACACCTTGTTTTTAAATATATGAACCCATAAACCACTTTTTGAGCATTTCAAGAAAATAAAATAATCATTCAGTCATAATAATAAATAGAAATCTTTACCTATAATCTCTTGCAAGTGTATATCCGGACAATACAGCTGGCAGCTCCACTATGTGTTCAAACTGTTTAAAAGTTGCATGTACTGCACAAATGTGTTCGTATAAATATCAACTATGGAAAAATCAAAACAATGAGCATTAAAAACTAAAATGCCTCCAGCTGATCCAAAAATGCTGCTGACAGAGTTCTGATGGGAGCATCACTTCACTGACCCTTTGTAAAAATAAGAATTTTATTTTCTTTTTGGGTTTTTTTCCTATCATGCAAACATCTGGAAGATCAAGCTTCATCCTAGATTGTGTTGTCCCATGCTTTCTCAACATGTGTTTTTAAAAGAGGAACTAGGCAGTTTTTGCTTGCAAACAAAAAAAAAAGGAGTTTTGGCTTGCTTTTAGCACTCCCTTGTGTCTGTTTGTTGAACCGAAAGCAAAACGTATCCCCTCACTGTGTTTATCTTTTAAATACCTTAATCTAACAGTTGAAATGTTGCCCAGCCTTCCTTAGTGTCTACAGGAGTGATTCACTAAATCGTACTAATCAGCTGTGTTCATGACCTAAAACATGCTGGAACCAGACTGCAGCGCATGGATGTCAGCTCCTTTTTTTCTGACAGAGCTGTGCTTTTATTTCTCTTGTCCAACCAGCTTCCATTTTTTATCAACCCTGTCCACTTTTAAGACCAAAACATTTCTTTTGGATTAATCTTATATTTAGAATTAGCTTGTGTTATCCTGCCTTATCCCGTGGTAGACTGCTGGAGGATGTATTGAAGACGTGTCCTCCCTTTGCTGCCCTGAAACCCTTTTATCTTTGCTTATCTTCCATAGAAATGAAAACAACCCTTATGAACTGGTGCCATATGAAGGTAAATGGACTCAACTGAAAACAAACCAAAAATAAGTTTTCCTTGTATTTATTTATATGCTCTTAAAAGTAAATTGTGATCCAAACAATTGGATTCTTTTTTCAGAAAGTACTGATTGATAACAGAAAAATGAGTCTAATGCATAAGAGAAATAAATACCCACACTTTGGTCAAACTCCATCGGACAAACCCAACTTAAATTTCTGCAACTAAGACAAGCTGAAATCAGCTGAAAGCTCCATGATAACATCCAAAGAGAAAGCAAAACATGTCTTTATTTATCTACAACACGAAGGGTTGTGACTCCCTCATTCAGCTGTAAACTGTTATTTACATTTTTCTGCTTATGTCTTCTTGGACCAACATGAGTTCAGACTTTGATTTTATTTATTTTTTCCAGCAACAGCCAATAATCAGTTTAATCTCTGGACTTGTCAGTCACACTCTGTAGGGTTTCACGTGGCTGCATCCGAGCCTGTGTGTAGGATATAAGCTGTGAAAGTGGAGTTCTGTGTCGCTTTTCACTGCTTGTCTCGGTTCTCCTACCCAGCATTTAGTAACTGCTCAAGCAAGGCAGCAATTTATTCAGCAAAGTCATTCAGGCAAGTTAAAATAAAAAATAAACAGTCATTCTTAGACTTTTTGGTTAGTTGTGTGTATACTGTAGCACAACATAGCTTGGCAGTGTAAATTGTTAGTTCTCTTAAATCCGTTAAAGCTTTTAAGCCATTTCAGACAAATCACTTATAATTACAATAAATTGAAAATGCCGAATTTAGCCAAATACAGACATCCTTTAAAGAGAAGCATGCTCCTTTCAGATGAGTGATTGCTATGATTAGAAGCAGGCTTCCTCTGGAGTTTATACACATAGCTGACAACTCCAGAAGCTGGAAAGGCCAACCGCATACCACCGAGGTGCATGCTGAGCCTCGTGGGGACAGGTGAATTGGAGCGTGATAAAGCTGAAGCAAAACACTCGTCAATCCAGCGGCAGGCCTGGTCCCCATCCTGTGTGGTAATTACTGGGTTAATTTCAATCAAAAGAAAAAAAGCCTTCGTTTCTATACTTTCAGGCGTTTGTTTCGGTTCAGGATTTTCATTTTTATGGGTATTTTTACCTGAAATGAATAAGAAACAATGTAGAGTCTTATGAAGCACTCCTTAAGCCAACTCTCGCTTCTGGTCACTACCATTCTCCTCAGCCCTTAAGTCACATCCTGTTTACTTTAGGAGTTTACAGGTTGGAACTGTGTCCACATGTGAGACTAGTCCGGCTTTGGTTTTGTTTGTAGTGTAGCACAGGTACATAGTTCAGCGTGTGAACTGACCAGAACAACCCAACAAGGTGGTGGTCAGGATGTGTTAAAATGCTGTGCCAGATCTAAAGGGAATACATAGAAATTTTTAATGGTGTGGAACACTGATTTTTTTTTTAAATCTTACTTTTGGTTATATTTTTCACTCCAAGTTTTTCATGCAGACTGAACATGAAAATATTGTCCTACACTCCTGCATTAGCTTCTGATAGACAATAGATGATGAAATGCTAGGATTTGAAATTCCTGACAGATCTATGTCACACTGTCACTTAACATTCATGGACTCACCCATATTGACTTGCATATGGATGACATATGGAGAAGGCTGCTATTAGTTTAGCATCCAGGAGACAGCTGAGAATGTCTCGGCTAGTAGAAGCTAACCGTAAGCATTAACAACTCCACCACACAGCAGAACTCATTCAGGATTCTGTAATTTGCGAAGATAAAACGTAAATGTTGCAAATCAGTGGTAGAGTACAGTTGCTGTGCCAGTCAGAGGCCAGATGTCCAAAAATCAGAAAATAAAGTTAAAATTAAAGTCCCACTAGTTCTCACACACACTGATGTGTGTGCGAAATTTGTTATCCGCATTTGCCCCATCACCTGGGGGAGCGGTAAGCTGCAGACACAGCTGCACTTTGGTGCTTTGGAACCATTTGGTGGTTTAACGCCGGGGACACACCGGCCGCCGAAGCGCTGCGAAGTGCTGGGAGCAAGGGCGTCAGTTTGTTTTCAGAATTGCTGGGGACAATAACCATACACTTGAGTGGGGTTTAAAAATTGCTGGGGACAATAAAGTAGGCTAGCACAGGGGTCGGCGGCTCTGGAGCCGCATGCGGCTCTTCCATCCATCTGATGCGGCTCTCTGTGCTTGTAAAATAATGAATGGATATTTAAATTAAAAGCTTTATATTTTACTGCATTAATTTTACATCTGTATGCCAATTCTAAATGTAAAGATTGTCTGCGTAAACCTGAACAGGTCCAACCCGGTCTTACTGTGAGACCGGGTTGACGCGTCATGCTTGTGTGTAATCATAGGCGCTTCCTGAGCTGGAGGATGTCAGATTCTGGGCTTCTCCTCAGACAGGTTCCTGGATGCGTCGCCACATTGGAGACAGGAACAAGCACTATTCAGCCAAAGTTTCATAATCAGGTGTGGCAGTGTGAGTCCTGTCACAGTATCCCGATAGATAATGCGCCCTGGCTACTTGGCCAAGAGGATGTCCCTTTGGCTGACTGGTTAGAGTGTATGACTCTCACCCGGGAGTCTGGGGATCGAATCCCGCCCGGGTCCTCGTTTCTCCACTGTGCCACGTATTGACGGATAAACTCAAGGATGTTGGTTGTTTTGAAAGAATTACCCCGAAGCACACTGATGCGCATGGATGAGCTGACATTTTAATCAATACGCACATCGCAGAGGTAACTTGATTTCCATCAGAACATCAGAGCTTTATGCTGGACACTGTGTTCAGCGCGGCTCGGAGCGCCCACGGTGGACAGTGGGCTGAAGATCTGAGGGGTTCGCAGCGCAGCGCAGAACCACGGTGCATGCGGCAAGATTTCCTCCCACTGAAGCGTTCTGGAAACCCAGTCTCTCTGAGGGATGTCACTTGGAAAAATGTTCTTTTTATGAAATTATGAAACTTTGGCTGAACAGCGCTTGTTCCCGTCTCTAATATGGAGACGCATTACGCATCCAGTCTGAGGCAGAATAGCTCTTCAGCTCATAAAACACCTGTAGAGACATTTGATTACGCACAAAGTTTATGTGGAGCAGAAGCGGTCGGGCCACGGCAGGTGAAATGTTCCTAGCCTACATGAAGTGTAACATTAATATGTTACTGGACACGCTGGTCTGGTTGGTTAGACCAGTGTTTGAAGTGGAAAACACACACACACACACACACACACACACACACACACACACACACACACACACACACACACACACACACACCAATTAAAATAATGCTGATAGCGTGGACTAATAATAATAATAATAATAATACATTTTATTTAAAAGCGCCTTTCAGGACACCCAAGGTCACTTTACACAAAACACGTAATAAAATACAATAAAACAATAATAAAACCCAAAGAAGAAAAAACAGAGAGAAACATTTCAATAAAATCAGAGGTTGTAGGCAGATTTAAACATGTGTGTTTTGAGTTTTGTTTTGAAAAGGGTAAAACCGTCGACGTTCCTGATGTCTGGGGGAAGTGAGTTCCAGAGTCGAGGAGCAGAGCGGCTGAAAGCTCTGCTCCCCATGGTAGCGAGACGGGCAGAAGGAACCGCAAGATGGATGGAAGAAGAAGATCTGAGAGAACGGGATGGG